AAAAATAAGTAAGTAAATATGGCTAGTCTGGGGTCCACATTTATTTCAGTAGGAACAATGTCACATGATGCTGGACAACATCTTGACTTAGGATTAAAATGGGCATAGGTAAATAAGAATTAAAATGGAAAATATTGGGGGTTTTTCCCATTTAAAATAAAGCAGATCAATTAAATACTTTAATACAATGTTACTTTGACAGACACATTCAGAAGTAGTTGAGCATGACAAGAATTCAACTACTGTACTGAAAGCCTTATCTCCTGTTGCCAAACTTGTAAATATGTTAAATGTATCATACAGCCTTATAAATTACTTCTCTCGACAATTACTAGTTTGTCTATCCCTTCCCTCAATTAGAACCATGCAGATTAATGAATCTTATGGGGTCTGGTTGTAGATTTCTCTTGAACCATAGTATGGTTGAACTAACGAGGATGTGGTGTAAAGAGTATTGGTTCTACAAACAGAGGACATGGATTCAAATCTCAGTTTTGCTATGTCTTATCTATAATATTCAGGGCAGTTAGGTGGGATAGGGGATAGATTCCTAGAGTCAGGAAGACTCATCTTTCTGAGTTCAAATCTGGCCTCAGACACTCACTAGCTGTGTGACACTGGGCAAGTCACTTAACTCTGTTTGCTTCAGTTTCCTCACATGTAAAATGAGTTGGAGAAGGAAAGGGCAAACAACTCCAGTATCTTTGCCAAGAAAACCCCAAATGGAGTCACAGAGTCAGATACGACTAAAACAACTGAACCACAATCTATGATATAGTTAACCTCTCTGGGCCCCAGTTTCTTCATATGTAAAACCAAGAGTTTGACCTAGATGATCTCCCAGATCACTTCCAAATCTAAATCCTTTGCTCCTATGAGAGTTAGAAGATCTGGACTTGAATTTAGGCACTGATTCTTACTAACTGCTTAATATCAGATGAGAAAATTCCCCCTATCAATGCAAATCAGCATCTTCTCTGTAACTTATCGTCTTAGGGAGTTTCTTAGAAGACTGAGAGGTTAAGGGTCTTGTCCATGCATAGACAGCAACTGTGTTTCAGTCAAAACCCAAGTCTTCTTGGAAATGAGTTTCTTTTAAAATCTAGACCTATGATTTCATCAGTGTAGGAAAGTCCCTGCATGTCAGATATGGAACATCTTTCCATCAACCAGGAGATCACCATCTAGTTTGGAATTTATAGTCCTAGAGAATTCCCTGAAGCATTGAAAGTTTCATGATTAGCTAGTATGTGTCATGGGCAAGGCTTGAACCCAGATTTTTCTAACTGTGGGCCAGCCCAGGCTATCACTCAAGTGTGAGTTACTAATAATAGCAATTTCTCTCTATGAAATTTGAAAGCAATGACTTTCTTGAATTTCCTAAGTAAACAGCATTGTGGAGGATACAAAAATGAATATTCATGGTTCTTGCCCTTCAAGAGCTCAGAGATTATTTGGAAAAAACAATATAGTCATGCAAAATAAATAAATAAAATTAAAATATAGTCATACAAAATAAATGAAAATACAAAGTTCACACAATAATTCAACAGAATTCAAGCAATACTCAGGACAATATATGATTCCTTGTTGAATTAACTGCTAAATGGTACAATAAATTTATGTTATGAACTCAAAAGACAGAGAAGTTCCTTTTGGATTATAAGCATGCATCAGAAGTATATGTCTGCATTTGCAAGTGGATAACCAGTCTCTATCAGGAAACAAGTAGTTACAAGGTCAAAAAAATTTTCATTTTCCATGACATTTAAAAAGAGATTTTGTTGCTATAGTTGCACAATCATATCAATGGGGGAAAAGGGGGTAATAAGCACATTTTAGAACATATGTCCCTCAAAGTCAAGAGCTGAGTCTTTGTTCTGTTTGGCTTTGTTTTTGAGGCCTCTGGCACATTATAGATACGTAAATAATACATGGATTTATGGGTATAGAAATGGAAAATATATCACATGCCACAATCAAATCAGTGTCATGGGTTAGCCATGATTTCAATTTCACTGAAAACTCTAGGAGTATAAATATTATGTCTGTCTAAACTTGCTCCCCTGGGACCTAGCATAGTGTTCTACATATAGTAAACATTTAATATACATTGTTGGATTAAATAAACTGAAATTTCTTGATACTAAACTTGTTGTACTTTACATATAATGGTTAGAGAACTTAAAGATCTCATTCCTAAAAGCCAAATGAATTCATGCAGATGTGCCCTTCTGAAAATATATGCTCAAGAGCCAAAAAGCTTTCTAAACTCTCTTTGTAGAAATTAGTTAAAAAATAAATTAGCAAGACACCACGTCCACTTGGCTGCTTACAGTCAATTCTATGTATTTTTACTTGAAACATGTAGTACTTTTCATTCAGACAGCATAAGTAATACCCAGTTTGAAGGAACATTTGTTTATGCCTAGGCAACTTTCTATCACTCACAGAATAGTTGCTGATCTGAATTTGGTAGAGGGGGTTTTCTCACCTAGAGTTACCTAACGCCAACAAAACTGCAGGACCCACCTAAAATCAATGAAGAGCTAGATGAATTAGGGTTGTGGCTGCTGCCATGAATCAGAACCACCTTTCATTTGCCTTAAAAGAAATGTCATGGAATTTCTCTACAAAGAAAAATATGAGTGGCTGAGGGAATCAGGGATATGTAGAAAAATAAGATTGAATCAGTTGAATTCTGGTTGATTACTTTTCCTCACTTTCTCATGGTCCCATCTACAATGTTTTGTGATGAAATATACATTTACAGGACAAAGTTGAAGTACTTATATCAAAAGGTTATGTCTTAGTTACTCACATATTCCTGGTATTATAAAGTGAATGGTAGGATTTTAAAGAGAATTCAGTCACCATGTTTAAGTGTTGTAGTGATAGATATTAAAGAAGGATACATGAAAGCATGCATTCAGTCCTCAAAAATATTCTTTGGATTAGCTCAGTTGAAGACTCGCATCTTTCTTTGAATTTGCATGTCCAGGCCCACTTTCTTTGGCTAAATCCTATACCATTAAGTAAAAAATATGGTAATTTCTTGTATCATATTTAATCATTATCATAAACCCCTCAGACACCACAATATTTTCTATTCTGAAGCTTTCCACATGTCCTTTAATCGATTTTGAACCTTTTTGTAAGGCTTTTATCAAAGATAAGGCATATCATGAAAAATGAGTGTTATGTATAAATCAAGGCTTATTTGGACCTTTTTGAGTCACCCACCTCAACACATAGGAAAAGACTGGATTTCTTTGTTTCAAAAAAAAAACCACTTATTGAAATTAATTGGTTTTACTATACTTGAGGCTTATAGAATTGCTAAGTCTTAGAAGGGGCTTTTCTGTGAACAAGATAAATGGTTTGGTGGATTGCTCAAAATTAATTAACAATGCTATACTCAAGATTTTTTTTGCACATTTCAATATTTGGAAGGGTAATTAATCAAGTTGTTATTTGAGACAAATTTAGCTTTTATCAGAGATCCTTGGGGAGGAAAATCAGAGAAGGTTGCATTTTCTGAATATTCAATATGCAATGGTGATGAAAGAACCCAAAGAGAGGACCAAGGGAGAAAAAGTAAATGCCATGTGGGGGAATATCTTTAAACTTATGGTCAAATCATACTTGGCAAACCTCACCAGATCTGGTAACCTTCAACAATGAAATTTACCTGTAAAATAATGCCATCTAGTACTATTACAACAAAATACAAATATTAAAATAGAACCAGAAGTTACCAGTGAAAAACAATGCCAGACCTAATAGCACTGATATACCAGAAGCAATTTATTATGACACCAGAAAGCGCTCTTTTCATAGTAGAGGCTTGAAATGAAAACTAACGCTTCTTTAAAGCTTGAGCTATAGCACAGCTTGAGCCAACCAGCCAAAATAGCTGAGGGGAAATGGGAAGGCCACATGTGGAACTAATTACTCATGTCGAGGCTATGACAAAGAACATTTCTCCAGACTTTTCATGGGGGCTTCACTTTCAGGAAGTAGCTATAATGACTGTTCGAGTCTAGAGCAGCCTGCGTGCTGCTGACAGATCCAAGGGAGGAGGAGAGAGGAAAAGGAGGAGGAGGAGGAGAAGGAGGTGGAGGAGGAGGAGGGAAAGAGGGAAAATGAATTTATTTGCCTTTTTTGATGAGTAAATACCATAGAATAAAGCTCCACAAAAAGTCTCTACAAGCTTCCAAATGAGCCCTGACTTACACCATTCACCCCTCTGACATCCGTTTCTCTCTCCTCTATCTTCAAACTCATTTTCCAGCATAGAGGAGAGTATATGTCTGCTTCTACTTTAACTCACTTTCAATTGGCTACAGAGAAACAGTACATCTTGACTCTTTTTTACAGCTTTTCCATACTGGGGCCCACTTCCTGCCCAGTTGAGGAAAAAAATCTGGCCTGAAGATGAAATGACTGCTTAACATTACACTAGAACATCTGGTACCATTTTATGCACAGACCCATGTCTGAGAGCAGGCGATTCTAGCGGTCTCTCCAGCGGCACAGTGCATACCCAAACCTCCCTAGGGTGACATCATCCCATATATGGACTCTCAGGCCCAGCCCTCCCCCTTTTCCTGGTCCTAAATTCATTGCCAGATCCCCAGTCTGCTGCAAATGTGCCACGTCAAGACTGGAAATCACAGCACTTCAGTGTGATTCAGTCGGTGCTCCAGAGTACGAGGGGAAGCAGAAAGCAACCCCCTGATGCAGGAAGGGAAGCTTTTCCCAAAGACTAAAGAAGGCTTTAAAATAAATAAATAGAAGCGTCCGGAGATCCTGCTCCGTCGCCCCAGTGTTCAGACTACCTGTTCAGGACAATGCTGTTGTACAGTAGTCTGCACATTGGTTAGACTGGGCAAGGGAAAGCAGCGGCATGGACTCTTGGGGACGCAAGTTGCTATTACCAAGGAGAAGACCGTTGTTGCTCCTTTTTCAGATCTCATATCCAGTATTTTTCTTCACAGGTTTTGCACATTAGGGAATAACGAAGGATAAGGGACCCTGTGGAAAAAGGAGGACTTCGGAGTCATGTGGGGGAAGACCTTCGGGTAAGGCCTACTTTGGAAGAACACCTGGCCTCTGACCTGGCGGACCTAGGTGACCTCTACGTTCTTCCAATCATCTCGGCAAGAAAGATGGAGCTTGGATGATTTACTTAGAGCATGTGCAAGAGAGAGAGGTAGATATTACGATCTGGAGAGAGGTCTATTGGATACTTACAGAGGTATATATGTATTTCACGAAGTTTTGTAAATATTATATACCTTCTAAACAAATTGAAGTTAGAATCCCATAGGAAACATATTTTGAAAGAAAAATTTTTTCCAGTCCAAAACTTAAGATGGAAGTGCAATTGTTGTAGAGTCTTAGAAGTTATTTAAATGGGCTAATTGACTTACTAAAGATCATCCAAAGGATTACTTACTTAAATTAAGTTTAATAAGAGTTTGTGTGTACATTTTAACAGCCTAGAGTTGGTTGGATTAGCTTTGGATAAAACAAAACAATGATATCATTTCTAATTCTACACTGCAAGTAGAGGTACTTTTCTAAAATTAATATATAATATTTATTTTTAAAAGTAACTGTTAGAGAAAACAGAACCCATAAATGAAGTTCTTCATAGCTAATAGACGTGAAAGTATACAAATTGTGCCAATTTTTGAAAGCAGTTAACAATAAAAAAGAGCTTGCCAAGCTTTTGCCAAACAGACAATGAAGATGGGACTAGCCCAGAAAATACAGCCGAAAGAGAACAGACTGAGTCAGCAACATAACAGGTCAAAACAAAAATTAAACAACCCTGTAACTTTAGGTGTCCTAATATGCATCTGTGTATCACCGTAAGAAGTGAAGAATGGTTAATGGCTACTAGTCGGCTACCCCCTCTTGCCGATATTTTGCACTGTTATTATTCCTCAGAGCTTTTAAAATGATAAGTTACTTTGTCTTGAATCCCACTGATAAAAAAGGAATTTGTAAACGAGGGCAGAAGTTTTCTTTGGTGAGTTTCCAGCAGTCCTGGAAGAGAAGAGGGATTGGGCGGTGGGGGGGAGGAGGAAAGTCCTCAAGTTGAATGAAATCCCCAAGGAGAGAATAATACAGAAAGTCTGGACTGCAATACGATACTTGGTGAACTTTAAAGTCTGGTCCCTTAAAGTAAGCTCTGGTAACAAATCTACTATGATCTCCAAAAAGTTAAAATAATAATGATGATGATGATGATGACGATGATGATGATATACCCTAAAACCTTTTTATACACTAAAATATATCCTATTAATTTTTATATGAAAATGAATATAATTTCTGGATTATCTCATTTTATATTATTTAAAATTATTATTTCATATTTTCAGAATTTCTAAATTTAAAATGTGACTTTATGATACAAAAAAAAAAATTACAACTCCTGACCCCAGTGATTGAGGACTCTCCACTTTTACAAATTGCACATCCCTTAGAACAAATGTCTCCAGAAGTAAACTATCCTCACTGATTAAAGAAAAATATAATGATTCATTCTAACTTAACCATGATTTTGAACTCCAAATTTAAAAGGGAAGGAGGAGAATTTAGTTATCCTCTCCACTTAGATGACGTAGTATTGACACATTTTTGTCTATGAACTAGTCACTTCTTTATTAATCATTCCTACTACTGGAAATAAGATTTCTAATACATATGTAATTTATCTTACATAGAAAAGTTCCAAATCTATTAGTATTTTTAAAATCAAAATTCCTAAAACAAAATCTTTAATTCTGTTTCATATAATTGTTACAGGCAACTAATGGTTGCATAGAATTTTGGTAATGTTTACAGTTTCTTGAATTTTCTGTTTTCTAATATATGGAAATAGTTTTCACCAGCATTTAGTTTTTATTATACTAGTAAATGGATGTGTTGTGTGAGAAATTTTTATTCTTGTGAGAAAGCAAGCTCAGGTTAATATTTTTTAGTTTGGTGATTGTTAAAACTTGGTATGCTCTGTTGTAACTTTAAGACCAATTTCCCAATTTGGAAAAAAACCCCAAAGATTCTCTTGAACATTTACTTCATCTTCCAGTAGTATATTCACAGGCAAAGTTTTGCACTGATGCAAATTATAACAGAACAAGGATAAACAATACTTGAATGTTCTTTAGTGAAACATTATAAAAAAAACCTGACCAACATCTTTTAAATAAGGAGGGGAAGCTGAGTAGCATGTGGAAATGGTAAAGGTTCAAACGTGGTCTATTAGTTACATCAGTCTTAATATTAAGTGACCTTTCTGGTTTTAAGAAGCTTACTCCCACTGACTCCCCACCAATTTTTTTTCTTTCCAGATAACTTTTAATCTGGAGACTGAAGGTGGAAAGTCTGTTCTTGGCATCAGAATAGGAAGTGGGAAAGGAGATTACAGTATAGGAAGACAGTGCTAGGAATAGAAGGAACATTTTATAAAGTAGTAGCCAAAGTATGTCTACACAATGAAGAGACTTGTGGTATATACAAATCTATTTTAGTGGAGTTTTAATCATTGGAAAGGAATTTAGACTAATTTAAAATTTTATATTTTATATAATATTACAAAATGTAAAAATCTGCATTTATAAAGAACTATTAAATGCAAAGTATTATGTTTATTATACGTATACACAATCAAAATATAAGCTTAAAAACAGATCCTTTTAAAGATAAAGATCCCATCTCAAATGGTAAAATAGATATTGAATTGATTTTAAAAGTAAACAAAAGATTATTATAAAGGGAGATAACCAACAGTGCCAGAACCTAAAACTACTGGATTTAATGGTGAGCATAAGCTTAGAAAATTAAGTATTTATAATTTAATATAAACAATATATTTTCAAGTAAAGTCTTTATTGCCAGCTAGCTTATACTTCAGGGGAATATATATATATATATATATATATATATATATATATATATATATATATATATATATATATATATATATATATATATATATATAATTTTAGATGGCAGTACATATATTGAGCTCTATCTATAATTCTGTAAATTACACTAAATAGCTCAGAAGGGAATTTTTCTCTCAAATCAGAGATAAAACATAGCTTTAAAGTTAAAAGGTACCTTAAAAGTGACACATTTCTATATGCATAGTTTTAATGCCATAACTAATCAAGAAAAAGATGAACTAAAAATATTAACTTTTTAAATCTAGAAAAATAATTCTACTATATATCTACAAAACACAGGGAGAATTCTCATAACAATTTAAAAAATATCCATTGAGATTTTTACTGCCTTTAATGTATGTATTTAATATTCTTCCACCTTAGTATTCAGGATAATGACCCTGCATAATGTGTTTATATTGATAAAAAGACTTAAATATACTACCCACCCCCACTTCCATCCTACAGACCACCCAAGAACACATTTCACTGTGTGGGAAATATATGGGTCAAAAATCACAAATCTTTCTCTTTTTTTAACATTTTTGTATAAACTGTAAGTAAATCTGTAGAAAGAAAGAAAGACTTGATAATTAAAGAAGGAAATAAATCTGGATAATTCCACCATCGTTAAAAAAAAAAAGGTACAGAGTACTAATTCTTCTTCAAAATAATCTGTTTTCCTTTTCCACTTTAAAAGAAACTTCACTTCATATTATTGTTCAAAGAATCTGAACTAAACACATATCAGCTAAAAATTGCAATTTAAAATAAACAAAAGGTCAGACTTTAATTTCAAGGGGCAGGAAATTCCCGAGCCAAGGCTAAAACTCTTAATTTGCTTCATTATGCCTTAGCATACTGCATTTTCCAGAAATGCAAATTTTCTCTGAAGTTTATCAGTTTTGATGCATAAGATTGAAAAAGTAGTTAGGGACAACAACTCACTCCTAATTCTATTACATAGCTTCAACAGAGAAAGCTAATTTTTTGGTATTTAACTTCAAATAATTTCTGATTGTGTATGAATTAAGAGGATTTTTTTCCCTCACAACATTATTATTATCAGAAATAAAAGAACCTAAATGTGGCTAGAATAAAATTATGCTACTTTAAGAAGTATGATAATAATAGAAATAACTCCTCATATTTTAACTCTCTTATTGATCTTTTTAAAAGCTATCTTATTTTCACCTGACTTTTTAAAATGATTCAAGATGTATCCTATAGTATGCGAGTCAGAAAGAAAATATTCCAAAACATTTTGTACTCAAAGAGTATACAATGCAGTTCTATGTCAAGTGAATGTGTAAATATTATATATATATATATATATATATATATATATATATATATATATATGTATATATGTGTGTGTGTGCATACATATATATGGCATTACATGTATATATTATACCTGGGAGTAAAACCTAACAAGAAGCACAAATTGGGAGAAAAGCTTGTTATTAAACCACAATTGTATTTCTACATTAAACAATTTTTTTAATCCCTGAAAACAAACTTAATCTCTAGTCCACATCATACACTGACGATGGTCTTTAAAAAAGAGTCATTTAATCCTTTCATGCTCAAGGCTCTTAGCTTTATTTTGGAGAACTGTTTCACACTACAGAGAAACAAATCCTCAAAGGTTCTAATTTTCATTGTCAGGCTATATCATTCCTTTAATTTATTATAATTAGCAGGATTAAATGATAAATTAAAACATGTAAGTTTTATTATTTCTTACCAACAGAATTATAAATCTACTGTACTTTATGACTTTTTTCTGTTTCAGATTAACAATGCAAGTGAATGATTTCTTAGGGCACTTGTGCCTGGCTTCCTTTGCCTTTCTGGGCATTTAAAAGTTCTCTTAGAAAACCTCCCAAATATTCACCTTAGGAAATAGGACTCTTTATTTTTCATAATAAATTCCATTGGTTGAGATTTTTGATTAGCTGGGAATTCTATTTCTAAAGGAATGGGCGGGGGAAGTAGTTGTAGGGATGGAGAAGTTATGACCACCTATAAATGAAAATTACTCATTTGTAATCAGAGCAGGAATAAATGATAAGATTTGACATTGTGGGGTGTAATTGAGCAAATACCTGTTATAAACGAACTCTAATTCTTGTACAGAGCTTAAGGAAAAGTGCCTTGTTTTAAATTTTTTTAAAGAAATTTTAAATCTTATGTTTTTTTGAGATTGTATGGCCCTCTTTTATAGATGAGGACAGCCCTAGCAATGCCCAAGACAAATTCTGAGCACCCTGTGGGTCAATATGTATTTGCTTATAATTTCTGATTTGGGATACACCCTGTAGTGCATTGAGACATGCATAAATTAAGCTCCTAACTACTATTCTATTGCATTTATTACATGTACAGTTAGAAAATTTGTATTTTAAAGAAAAGAAAAAAATGAAAATTATTTGCTGTTGCTTTCAAAAATATTGGTAAACTGTGTTCTTTTGGCAATTTCTCAAGTAAATTGATTATATACAAAAGTGGGATAGGGGGGTTGCCAAATACATTACGTTTGTTAATCTTTTTGGAGAAGTCTATTTCCAACTAACTGACAAGTTTCTTTTTCATAGGCAAGATTATAGGACTTATCTCTTCCTAAAAACTAAGTGTAAACATAGCTTTTATCTGTAACTTCGGTATTAAAATATGCAGTGTTTACAAGAAGAGGAAAAACATCTGGTTCAATTACTGTGCTCTATGAGTGCATGTGAGCAAGCTGTAGCATGAAATGGATTTAAAAATAAACCCTCTGTTTGGTTTTCCCCCCCTAAGTTTTCAAAATGAGGTTTCTGTTATCCTCAACATTCATGTTAGTATATCTGAATCAAATGTATAAATGTAAATTTTTGAATAAAATCAAAAGTCTCACTTGTTCAATAGTTCCATAATATTTTAAAGTTTAATTTTGTTGTGTGTTTTTCTCCCTTTCCCTCTCCTTCTTAAAAAATTCCCCAAATCTGAACTGGTACAGATTGATTGTATCTGCCCATGAGCAAAGGAACCCTGATGGAACCAAGGGACTGGCTGGACGGAGTTGTCATGTGTCTGCCTGTCTACACTTGCTGTGCAGAACATCCTCTCACCTGTACAGCAGGCACAGACAGGCAGTCACATGACAACCCAGCCTGAATGACAACCAGCCAATGAAAGCAGCTCTCTCAAACTATAGCATCTACACCAAGAGCTACAACCAAAAAGAGGGAGCAGATGTGTGGGGAGGGAAAGGGAGGGATTGGTGTTTCAGTCTGTTGGTTCAATACTTAAGTCATGTGTGTATTAATATTATCATTAATATTATTTCATTATTATTTAATTTGGTTAGACTATT